TACAAGTTTATCGCACAGCCAAGTATTGCCTCGGTAAGTAGCTGAGACTCATTTATTTTATACACCTATGCGGATCAGAGAGAGTGAGATAGTGTAGATAGGACAAGAAACAATTGAATTTGTTTGTTATTTTTTAAATAACTCTCGTGATGTCTTGTAACACGTCATCGGAGCAGTTGAAGCAAATTAACCTTGACATTCTTTGTAATTTGAATGCCTTCGCAATTTATAAAACAAGGTGGTCCCACAAAAGGTCAGTTCATTCCTGCTAATTTGTCCGAAAGATCATTTCAAACATATATAACGGAATGTTCGAATGAACGAACACACAGGGTAAGGGAAAATCACCTAGGTTTGTTTCAACAAAGAAAAGCGACAGTTCATCACAAGGGTCTGCACAATATCCTTGCTAATACTAACGCAATCTCCTGAAACTTGAATGAAGCCGGGGTTTAATTTCTAAAGGAAACTTTGGTGTTGGCGTCGGTGGAGGAGTGAAATACAGAGATTTGGTTTCATATTGAGTTGGTAGTTTGGCCGCCGTAGAGAGATAGAGGTCGACGCTGACTTTTGGTGAGCCGCTATCTAGCGAATAGGGCTAGCGCTCGATGCGTGTCCTCTTCTCTCTATATCTCCCTACGGCCGTGCAACACTACCTTACCAACTCAGTTGAAACCAAAGTTGTGTTGCTGAAACTTGATTGGAGAGACGGGAAAATTTCGAAGAGTATCTTGAGGGCAGGGGCGAATCCAGGATTTTTTTTAGGAGGGGGTGCACTCGTCTCTTGCTCTGCTTCAACACCAATAAACCACATAGTTTTTTTTTTTTTTGCAGAATACCAGTTGTATTAGAAAACCGCAGGTCATCTCAGGGAGGGGGGATGCGCATCCCCTGCACCCTCCCCCTAGATCCGCCCCTGAGGCCTGTCTCAAGAGGCTGTTAACTTTTCGGGGCAGGTGACTCATCGTATCGAGTCGTAGTTGCATGAGCCGGATCAGTCAGTCTAACACTCCGTAACAATTTGGGAATTTCAAGAAATCTTGGTTAAATCTTTGCCCACTAAAACTGAGTTTTTTAAGACAGGTGAAAGAGGACGACGGAGCCTCCACCACTACCCGGGGGGGGGGGGCACTCCCTTATATAAGCCATATAGGTATGTGCCGTCCCAAGGGTAGGGGGTAAGGGTAGGGTTTTTGCGCCGTTTTGGTCTGGAATCAGGTATGGTTTACAAGGGAACTACGATTGATATCGTGTATCAATATGTTGGTCGTTTTAACTCCAAATGAACAAGAAAGAAAGTGTAATATGCGAATTCGAAATGGATTTTAAGAAATCTTTTTGATGCAATGATGACATATTCTCTGTTTTATGTAAACATGTAATGTAGCGTTTTGAGACCATCTCCAGATCTGAAAAAGGGTATGGATTTTGGAGGCCAGGTCTGAAAACGGGTGTGGAAAATGACACTTTTCGGTCCGAAATAGGGTCATGATTTGGAGAACCGGGCTGTACACCCCCACCAAGAAATCCCAGGGGAACCCCCCTCCCCCTCGGGCATCAGCATCCCTTCAGTAAGCGCCCTCAAAAAGTAGTTTCCTTTTCAAGGGCAGACTTGCTTCTCATTTTCACTCAAAGATCCCACATTTAACAAATTAAAAATATCACATGTCATAGATACTGTACAACTGACGAGGATACGTCGATAACACTGTTGTCGTTCTTGTTAACGATGTTTTTTTACTACTTACGTTTCAGTATCAAACATTTTAATCATCTTTGCTATGAGGGCCTGCAGTGCCATTTAAATACTTTAGATATTGCGGCATTTTCTCTGTCTCTTAAAATTCTTTGGATATTAGGAATCCCTTTCACGATTTTCATTTGTATGAACGTTTTAGTCCTTAAAATACGCTAATTATCACATAATCAACCGAACATGATCTTCTGGTTTTGCTATTGAAAAGTTACATATATATATTACCCAAAACGTACGTGCTTTCAGGACTTGGAGGTAGGAAGGAATGGGCTGAAACTTTCAAAAATGGCGCACCAAAAGTTTCGAAGTCTGACCGTGTTATTAGTGTCATAGATTTAATTACCTACCGTCAAAGCTTATCTTATGTTAGGTTTCCTTGCTTTTGTTGTTGTTGTTTTTTCTTTTTTTATTTAATCAAGAGAGAGAATGATCATTCTCTCTTGACTTAATATTATATCTGTCAGAGTGTCAAACTCGAAAAGCTAAAGCAAAAGGGGAAGACACCCAATTATTTATCTAATTACTAATAGGTTCGCCAATAGGACAATTGCACGATGACGTCATTTGTTACCAGAATCTGCGCATGGCGTCAATTATTGAGGGCCCGTAACAGTCTCTTTTAATCAAAACCCATGAGAGATCAAACCCAGGTAAAACTCTTGGGGCCATTTCAATCTATTGTTTTCATAATGTTTGTGAGGATTGTCTGTGTCAAATATCGTCATCGTGCAATTGATTCATCACAGTTATTGCCAGTGTGACGTCAGGAGGAGGAGCCATCTCATCTGTGACCGATTAACGTGTGACGAACATAGTGTCGCTTGTGAAAATTTGCAAGGGACACCATAGTCCTTCGAACAAGAGAGGTCAGGGAAAAGATAAAAAGCTAGGCCAATATTGCTGTACATTGCCAATTTGATCATAAGTGTGTGAGCTTTGTTGTTGCTTTTATCTGAAAACCGTCTTGGTATTTAATGACCGTGATTGTGTGATTTGTTAATTTGTGTCGCGGGTCGTGTTGCGGGATCGCCATCTTCTTTACGGGACCAGCAAGGTCATAAAAAAAATTAGTTCCGTTTATTTTCTCGAAACTTGGGCAACGTCTACTCTCCAGAATAGGAGATTCGATTCAGAGGTCACACACGTTTATATTCCACATATTCTTTCGCTGATTCAATCGGCGACCGTGCTTCAAATCAACCCCTTCGAGTGTGGGCCTCTGTTTATTTCTTAATTATCCACCAAATTCAGTACAGCTAGTTTGTTCGACTTTCTACATCGATCGGCCCTTTGAACCCGAAATATTGCCAAATAGCTTTGAAATACGTGATTAAGCTAATTTTTCTTAAAAGTATCTTTGAATTCATGATAAATACAGCTTCACCAGCTTCAAACAGGGTTATGGCAAAGAAAAATGGTTTTAATATAACAAATTTACGTCACCCAAAACTAAGTGGCACCGTGGCGCAGTGGTCAAGGAGTTGCTTGCACGTGCAAATGAACTAGGTTCGACTCCCCGCGAAGCCGTTTTCTGTTTCTTTATTGTACATTTTTTTTTTCTGTCTAGTTTTTGTTGGTTGATCCAGTTTGATCCAGTTGATCCATTTCGTGGATGAACTACTACTACTACTACTATTACTACTACTACTACTACTACTACTACTACTACTACTACTACTACTACTACTACTACTACTACTACTACTAATTATAATAATAATAATAATAATAATAATAATAATAATTATTATTATTATTATTATTATTATTATCAATATAACATGTTTTCTTGTGTGGTGGTCATCAATAGGTTAATTTGAAAATTCAGTCATTAGTGTCATTTGATGGTTTGATAGTTCCGCTTTGTGCTCACTAAATGCTTGTGCTTGTATTTCGTTGCTAAATAGCCTTCGTAGCAGGCGCCGGATTTTTAGGGCGAAAGAAGAAATGTCACCCTGGGTGCCTTTTCTAGTCCACTCTCACTGCACCTGTCGGGATGGAATCTTGGAGAGCCAAAACAAGAACTGGAAGGACAGCTCAGCGATACGCTCTATTAGTGCTTGCATGAAAAGTTCAGTCAGGTAGAGAACTCAGAAGCAGGGAGCAACTATCAGTGATCTAGCTAACAATTTATTTTATTCAGTCTCATACAGCTTATGGGTGTATATAACCAATATAGCTGTGAATATGACTAACACACTATCTGCTTTTTCTTGATTATTACTTCTATCACCATCCATTCAAGAAGACTTTTTCTGGTCGATTTTAAGTGAGTTTTTCACGAATGTATCCACCCTACTACGGTCTCCGCTCTCGTCAATCAACCACCTGTTCGCTTTAGCATCTCTCATGATATTCTTTCTCGCATTAGCCCAACGGCGGCGATAAATACGGCTCCCAGCATCACTAAAACAAAATATAAAATCAAAGTCTTTTTAAAAAGGTTATATGGCATTGCTTTGCTATGGCATTGCTTCTTGTGTGCGGCTACTAATTCATTCTTCTTGATATACAAGCGCAAACCTTGTGGATTTTTCCGCCCCTTCGCGCATAATTTCCGTTGAGATGAGGTGATTCAGTTATTAGTGTCTAGTTCCGCTTCAATTTGTGCTCAGTGAATTGTTAGCGGTTATACTGTGCTGCTAGGATATTTGTTTTGACCGTGTTGTTGGTGAATTTTAAAATTTTCGCTTCATTTAAAATCTTATAAAAGTTAACAAACTTTGAGTAAATACAGTGAAACCCGTATTTAAGCGGACACCGTATTAAGCGGACACCCTCTATTAAGCGGACAGTAGCCGAGGTCCCCAAATTTATTTCTCGTATTTACTTTAAATGAAACCTTTATTAAGCGGACACCTGTATTAAGCGGACGCAGACACCTAAAAAGTACCTGAAATGGTCATTTCTATTGTTGCCAACCTGTATTAAACGGACACTTGTAATTAAATTCCACCACCCAACATGCGAGACACCGGAAAAGCGAAAGATTGCCCCCAACGAATTTTTCAATTTTTACCTTAAAAAACGTGACTTGACGAACTTATTGGATTAGTTTCACAGTACAGTACTGTATTCTATTTCGTTTTGTTTGTAAAGAGCTTGTTTCCCTCATCTGAGTTCTTCAAATTTGAGTTGCAATCTATGTTTATGGTACTATGATCAATTGGTCCTCTTTAATAAAGAAATTAATGCAATCGTATATCGTCATAGTCTCTGGGAGTATGACTACTAGCTTTTGCTGCGAAACTTTGCACCAGTTCTGGTGTGAAACTTTTACGGTAATTGCCTGACTGACCACGTACGACTACTGGCTTTTGCTGCGAAACTTTGCACCAGTTCTGGTGTGAAACTTTTACCGTGATTGCCTGACTAACCACGTACGACTACTGGTTTTTGCTACGAAACTTTGCAGCAGTTCTGATGTGAAACGTTTACGGTGATTGCCTGTCTGACCATGTACGACTACTGGCTTTTGCTGCGAAACTTTGCACCAGTTCTGGTGTAAAACTTTTACGGTGATTGCCTGACTGACCATGTACGACTACTGGCTTTTGCTGCGAAACTTTGCACTAGTTCTGGTGTGAAACTTTTACGGTGATTGCCTGACTGACTACTTACGATTACTGGCTTTTGCTGCGAAACTTTGCACCAGTTCTGGTGTGAAACTTTTACCGTGATTGCCTGACTGACCACGTACGACTACTGGCTTTTGCTGCGAAAGTTTGCACCAGTTCTGGTGAAACTTTTACGGTGATTGCCTGACTGACTACCTACGACTACTGGCTGTTGCTGCGAAACTTTGCACCAGTTCTGGTGTGCGACTTTTACGGTGATTGCCTGACTGAGCACGTACGACTACTGGCTTTTGCTGCGAAACTTTGCACCAGTTCTGGTGTGAAACTTTTACGGTGATTGCCTTACTGACCACTTACGACTACTGGCTTTTGCTGCGAAACTTTTGCGATGATTGTCTGACGACATACCATTATGGCTTCTTGGCTACAGAAAAAATGAGTGAGTAAGATCAAACTCAGGATGACAATCAAGCTCTTACTAGTGAAGAGAAAGTTAGTAGAAGAACACGTTATCAGTCTGGCTTTAAAAAGTAAACTGTTGCCATAGCATATTTGAAAACATGGACAGTTTGTTTTTTATACCGCAACAGAAAGGTCCTTGTTTGCTCTCAGGCGTTTACGTAAATTACAAAAGAGGAAACCATTCCCCTCACCACGTCGAAACTCGAGTTAAAGACCGCAAACGTTACCTTACTTTGTTGGAAGTTTCCGACGGAAAGCCTGTTTACACGAAACTTTCTGTCAGTTCTGGTGTAAACCTTTTGAGGAGTAACAGTAGCACGGCAAACAATGCTTGCGATAAGCATGTATCTACACTGAATTTGGGGTGATTTTGGAGAGGAGACCACACGTAGATCGAGCTTACTTGTTATGTTGTTTATTGTTAAACTTTGATTTCGCCTCAGTCGATAATCGTTGTAAAATATGCATTTGTCGTAAGGCTTTGCGGTGATCACTTTTTTTTACGTGTTATTATGTTATGGACAAAGTTCGGGATCTTCCTTTTTATCTTTTACCTGGCAAAAACTCAAGACTACTCGTCAAGTCCACATTCCAAAACTGTAACTACTGCTGAATGTCTTTAGTTATGTTACTATTATGTAATTCTTAATACTTAGGGATAAAGAAAATATATACTAAACAAATACACTGATCTTTTCCCTATATCTCAAAAAAAAAAAACCGACAACTAGATAAAAGGGTGAAACAGGTTAAATACGCTCTTCTGTTATATTATGTAAATTTGACGTAAAACAGATCTTGCCTGCTGACTTTTATGTTTTTCTTGGCAATGTGTGTTAAATGGAACTTTGCTGGCTCGCTCACTCCATAACTTTGCTTGTGCTACCGCTGGCTGGCAAACACCGAATTCCGTTTCACACTGGCTGGGATTGCGTAATTTTTATTTTTTTTAACCTTGCTGGCTGGCAAAAAACCGTCAAACATGATTGCTGGCTGGGATTTTTATTTTCTGAAAGTCTTGCTGGCTAGCAGTGAAGAGCAGGTATTTTTTTCCCAGGAAAGTTAAATATTAACATAGGTTGACGTTAAAGCACTCTGCTAGCGTTTAAGACATTGTATAATCAATTTTGCGAAAAAAGTTCGTTGGGTACTCCTGTTTTAAACGTTTCCATTGTTTATTTGAATGGCATTTGACACCTTATATGACGTTATCTATCGAAACCTGTATTAGGCGGACACCCTGTATTAAGCAGACACTACAGCATTCCCCGAGGGTGTCCGCTTAATACAGGTGACACTGTACTTATTAACTATACGATAATTGAGCTTGGGAAGCCTGTGGCACTTGCCACTGGAATAAGACTTGTGTATACGTCGGGAATTTCCTTGAAATTGTTTTCGAGTCTATTATGATAAGCAGTTGTTTTAACTGATTAAAATTAAGAACAGTCATAAGTGTCACTTCGTGAATGGTTTGATAGTTCCGCTTTGTGCTAAATAGCCTTCGTAGCAGGCGCCGGATTTTTAGGGCGAAAGGTGATATCACCCTGGGTTCCTGTTGTAGTCCACTCCAGGAGCCCGTCCACTCTCACTGCACCTGTCGGGATGGAATCTTGGACAGCCAAAACAAGAAGGGAGGAGAACTCAGTGCTGTGATAAGCTGTTTGTAGCGCTTGCGTGAAAAGTTCAGGTAGAGAACTCAGAAGCAGGGAGCAACTATAAGTGATCCAGCTAACATTTTATTTTATTCAGTCTCATACAGCTTACAGGGGTATATAACCAATATAGTTGTGAATATGACTAACAAACTATCTGGTTTTTCTTGATTGTTACTTCTATCGCCTTTCAAAAAGGCCTTTCCTCGTCGGTTTTAAGTGTTTTCTTCACGAATGTATCCACCCTACTCTGGTCTCCGATTTCGTTATTCAAAAATCTGTTCGCTTTAGCGTCTCTTACGATAATCTTACTCGCATCAGACTTTTCGTAACGGCGGCGATGACTACGGCGCCCAGCATTACTAAAACAAAATATAAAATTGAAGTATTTTTAAAAAGGTTATATGACATTGCTTTGCCCAATAATTCAAAACCAAATTTGACGGGAATGGGTTTTATTACAGATTCACTCCACTAAATGATAGAATAGGTATAGGTAATAACTCCCAAAAACTAATCTCGTCCCCAGGACTTTTTCGTTAGAAAATTTCCCACTCCCATCCCCGCTCCTATTTTCTAAGGCTGGAAAAGCCCTGGGGCTCGTTTCTCGAAAGTCCCGGTAACTTTTCGGGCCTGAAATCAAATCCCGATAACTAGAACCCTCGCTAACTCGAACCAAAGTCAATTTCCCCGGGATTTCCTTCATACATTTACTGTCATTTTACCTTCGATAACTCGAACGTCACGCTAACTCGAAGTAATTTTTAGTTTTCTTCAGATCATTTCTATATAATTTTACCCTCGACAACTCGAACCATGTCTTAAGCGCGTGACAATTCGAAAAAAAAAAACCGTGTACCGAAGTCCGAGATATTGAAATTATTTCAAAACAATCGAGTCAATTCTTTGTCTTCACTCTTTTGTCACTCCAGTTCAAATTCAATATCCATTCCTGTATACTTTGTTTCTTAATTGCATTCCCTCCTCATCCACTTGCTTATTTGCCTATTTCAGGTTATTTGCTTCAAACTCCTGATAGAACTTTTTTTCCATTTTCCTAGAAGGTTCGAGTTATCGGGAGTCGACTGTAACATGCGACAAAGTACTAGGCGCGCCACGGAGACGTTTCAACATCGCGCTGACGTCCCGTTCTTTCTTGCGCCAATTACTTAATTCCATGCGCCTGCTATGCAGGCTAACGTTGTCACGCTTAAACTTATCACGGTGTTTAATCTAATGAATACATCCCTTCCAGAAATCGGGACTTTTCGGATCTATTTTAGTAGAATTACTACGGTTTTCCAAGTAGTAATTGTATAAAATAATAAAAAAAACGATAACTAATTTAATGAGCCATTCGCAGTTTCACAGCACTAGTGCTTAATGATCTAAAGGAAATATTAGGGACTACCAAAGGTTTAAAAATCACCTCGGAAAATACAAACCTTTCGGGCAGGAGAGCCGCCAAGATAACCACCGCCAGAAACAAAGCAAAAACACGCGACATTGTTAAACAGTCCTGGAAAAATAGGGGAAACAGTCAAACAGAATACTTTTAAGGAGATCAAAAGTTCGATAAATAAGCAAAGTTTGACCTCGTGCCATAAGGTAGTGAATATATACTGAAATATAAACCTGAAATGAAGAACAAATATTGTAAGGCTGACCGATCCATCCAGTAGAGTTAAACTGTAAATTTTAAAACAGAAAATGTGTTTTTGCGAAGAAACATTAGTCGGTTAAAACAGGTAAAACTGGGCCTTCTGATGATTTCCGTTAAGTTTATTTTCTAAAAGATTATGAAGATAAATTTATTTGTAGAAAATGAGAAACATGATAAAAAAAAGTTTGTAACGTTTTATCATTCGATGGAATGCACTCACCTTGGTGTACGTTGATTTCCTGAGAGTCCTTTTGATAAAGCTTGCTAGGACTGAAGGGTCGTAACAATTAGTGAAGCTTCTTGTGTGCAGCTATACTAATTCCTTCTTCACGACATATAAGCGCAAACCTTGTGGATATTCCCACCCCTTCGCGCATAATCTACGTTGAGATGCAGTGATTCAGTTATTAGTGTCATTGAGTGAGTAAATTGAATTGATAGTTCGCTAGTTCCGCTTTAATACTCAGTGGATTGTTTGCGGTTATACTGTGCTGCTAAGATATTTGTTTTGACCGCGTTATAGTGGTGAAATTTTCAAGTTTTCGCTTCATTTAATATCCCGTAAAAGTTTAAAAACTTTGAGTAAATACTTTTTAACCATGCGGTAATTAAGCTTGGCGAACCTGTGGCACTTGCCACTGGAATAGGACTCGTGAAAACTTTAGAAGTTTCCTTGAAATTGTTTTATGGTCTACTGTATAATAAGTAGTTGTTTTAACTGATTAATATTAAGATGATTTTGTCATAAGTGTCACTTGGTTAATGGATTGAGAGTTCCGCTTTGTGCTCAGGAAATGTTTGTGGTTTTAGCATTGCGTTGCTGAGGTACGTAGACAAAACGGGTGAACTTGATGAGCGCCCACCTTGTCAAGGATGGGATAATGTTATACAAGACAGCACCCATCTTATGAGCCTGATAGACACATATTTTTTCCCTTAAAATTTGAGACGAGACAGATTTGAGTGCAAGAAGCTTACATTTTTAGCAAAGCAGCACAAGGTCGTTAAATCATTTTACTTATTTTCATGCCCACTGGTTATAGACAGAGGGTTACTCAAACCCGACGGCATTTATTTATGGTGGGGAGGAGGAGAGGAAAGGACAGCATCATCAGTCTTTCCGTGAAGCGGTTGGTCCTGGCTGTGTTGTGTGCAACGACCACAGTTTTCACGACATCTCTGATAGACTACGAGTAGTCCCCATTTTTCCTCAGGGGCAGAGCGAGCGAAACGTGAAAATCATCCCAACGCGAGAAAGGCGAGACGCGGTGGGGAGAGCCGCGTCGAGCCGCGTCTCGAGTGGGATGATTTTCACGCGCTCGGTTTTCGCTCGCTCTAGTATCCCTGAGGAAAAATGGGGACCACTCGTAGTATTTTTTAAAAAAATTTGACTCTCACTCCGTTTTCATCCATCCACACTAGTACAGCAAAACGGCGTTCTCAGAAATCTCCACTCTAAAGAGCGTTTTTGAAAACATGCGTTATCGGTGACCGTGTTTATCAGATACAGTTAAGCCTCTCCTTTAATAACGCCTCCCCCCCCGAGACGGAAGAAAGTGACCGTTGTGGAGGAGGTGGCCGTTAGTGGGGGTCGACAGTACGTGTGAACCGTCGGAGAAAAATATATCGGATCCCGGCGTTTGGACCGGGCGTAAATTTATTGCTTTTTGGCCGCTCTCGTTGCCGTCGCCGTCTTTGATAAAATCAGCAATTTTTCTACAATGAATAATTTGCATTTACAATTTTTGATATTTTACTTGCATTTATTTAAACACTGTTCTTACATCAACGATAACCAGTGACCTTACAACTTCGGTCCGACTCCATTGAACATCAGCTCTCACGATGCCGACAACTAGTGCTTTTCTAAGTAAAGATGAGTGTAAACTGCATAGAAATGGCACCACGCCCCGGTTGCACAGAAAACATGCCAGATCGCATGCGCAAAGGGTAAACGGCCATCCAACTTAAAAAATGCCACACCACTGACGTAGAAAACTCCACCCAGGCCCACCTCGGCTAGACCAGCTTTATCCGTCTGTAAAGTAGAAAAGTTCAGATGATGTGTATTAGACACACTGATTGACTGAATGATTAAAAATGTGCTGTCAGTTGTGCCTCTTCGGACACGGATACATGAACATGCACAAAGTGTAACTTGTGTTTTTGCAGCTTTTGTTTTTAGGCGATCCGGTTACACAATACCATCCTTCCTTTTTCATTCATCCTTCTTATTTGTAGCCATTTTGTGCTATGAGTCGTTATGAGTCAAATCAATATACGTCACTTGACATCAAAGAGGAAAATCACGTGTCAAATTGGCGGCGTGCCTGATACTCAGGAACACCTTTTGGGGAAAAGTCGCGTGTTTCCAGTTGGAAGGTTTGCAAGGTTATTAACGTGATACTATCTTAGAAACAAATTTTATACATATCGACGAATTGAAAACGGGGGAAAACGTTTTCATGGTAAATACAATTTAACCTCGATTTAGTTTCGTCAGCCACATAGACATAAGAATTAAAAAGTTTGTTCTTTTTTCGCGGCCAGAAATGCAAAAGCGATGATTTCCGCTCTAGAGGTAATTTAAGTCCAGATCCTTGAAAACGGTTTCCGCCCGGCTTTGGGAGCCAGAAGACTAACATACGTTATCAAGACAAGTAATCTATTCTTTATTATATATATATTTTTTCACCCATTGTGATTTCATTACGGCGACATTTTAAACTATCATTTCACGCACTTAGATTGGCTTAGGTGGAGGGTGATCTAACTTCTCGTGTGGCAATGGGAAAAACAGAAGTAAGGGAAAGTAACATATAACATACTTACAGATGCAAAAACAAGTGGAAGAGACGGGCATATTCCAACTATTAAGTACAGGATTGTTGCTACAGTTTTATACCTATAATAAAAATCAATCCAATCAATACCCATCGATAAGTTTTTTTTTAAACAATTAATTGTCATATTAACTCTTGGTGTCCTCTTCAGGTAATAAAACATCGTGGCTGGGTTCCTGAGGATATTTTTTTCTTATCGATACTGATGATTCGCGTCGAAGCCGCGTCAACAAGGCGCAAAGCGCCAAGAGAAAAAAATAACCTCTGGTCACAGGAGCTACGAGTCTCATTTCGATGCAATTTTGGGATCATATATCTCATCAAACCGGTAATTTTCTTACATTTTCTTAAGTTTTCCTATGCATTACGACTGCAGTCTGTCTGTTGAAACTTTTGCCCATTTTCAAATAACGTTCAAATTCAGTTATCAACACCTGTGATCTAGATTAGATACACAAATATAAACAGAGTGAAAGCTCAAATTATTTCTGCTCAAAATGTTAACTACCATCGTGGGTTACAAAAGCAAAAAAAGATTGGGAAGATGAGGGGGTTGCTAACAAACAAAAAGAAAAGGCAGAGGAAATGATGAGGAAAAATACACCTCCCTGTACTAATATTGTTCTTCCACTTTGTCTGCCCCCACCCACCGTACCCACGCCCCAGCCCTATTAACTTTTCCTCTGCTCTCTGAGGGAGCTTACCATTTAAAGTCAGAACTGGCTGAATTTCACCATTAATGCAAACTGTCCCACCAGATCAGTCTAATTTCCAAATACTAAGGATGGCAAAGACTGTCGCAAAAAGCCATATTTCATTTGCAAGATGACTAGTCTGGCCTAGACTGCCAGCAGGCTCACTTGTACGATTTCCAGGAAAATTTTCGTGGCGGAGCAGCCAGTGTGAAACTGGTGCGAAAATTTTGCATCACTCACAAGTGAGAAACTAACACAACAGCTAAATATAAACAAGGAAGGAAATCCACCAAGCACATTGGCTCAGCAAGTGCTGTTGTATTATGCTTGTTATAAATACCTTTCATGAAACATGTAGGAATAAATAGTGCCAGTAACCGCCAGAATCCACAACAGCCAAGCTACAAAATCTCCTATTCTACCAACATCTTTCAACACCAACCTGTAGACACATTCCTATTGATTAATCTAATGCTCTTGTGCATATGAATCAGGGAGCAAGGGACTGGTGCACGTGGTAAGAGCACGCACCTCCCACCAAAGTGGCCCCAGGTTCAAGTACTGGTGTTGTTGTTGGCTCTCTCCCTTACTCAAAAACCTGAAGAAGAACCACTAAGTGAACGTGCTACCTCAAAATAGTTATTTATTTAAATTTATTTTATATAAATGGTATGCAGTTTTCTATCAAAAAAAGACATCATCAGGCTCACTTCCACACAAAGGCTACAATAATTGGTGACAAAATTGTTGAGACAATGTATCAAATAGGGTAACTTCAGAGAGCAAAAGAATCCACACCCCTCCCCTGTCGCCTCCATTCAAAGTTCGGGTAGTTTGTTGTTTTCAATAGGTAGCTCAATCAGCGGCACAACATTGGATGGGGGAGGAAAAGCTATATTTCCCCCTTCTGAGGTCAGTAAAAGGTAAAAAAGCCCTGTTTAGGGCAAAGTGTTGTAATTCATTTTGTCGCTGATTATTTATAGGTTGCCCAGCATATGACTGACTAATTATTGGGCTATTATGTGTAATAACAGTCATGAAGTGAGAGAAATGTCCTGAATGATGCAACAATAAATCTTGGAAACATACCAAGGCATATATGACGCAGCAATGAAAAAATAAATAATACAGCGATCACTCAGATGGAGGAAATACCTGAGGGAACTGAACAAGAGAAAAAATATTTAAAAAGAGTAAAATTTAAAATCATGCAACTATTATGGAGTTAAGGTATATTGACCCTCAAGATTCGACCAAAATTCAATCTTTCTGATAGGGTGCAAAAACCACTGGGAAGTTAGTGAAACTTCCAGGAAGTCACTTAACCATAACAGTGGGCAAAATAAAAAAAATCACTTAAAATCCTAAAACGTTCATAAAATCCTGACCAATAAAACTGTGCAAAAGTTCTGCACAAGCTGTTCCATTTGAATGGTAACACCGAAGGATTTTGTCCTGAGATTTAAAAGTTACACTGACAAATCGTCTCACCATAATCTGTTCTGAAAATAAATGCAACTCAAAAAAGGTCCTTTAGCAGGAAATTAAGACAGCAATTCCTAGAGTAATGATTTCACATAAAATGTTTGCTCATTTGATTCACACCAACATTAGAAATTTCAGATATGGATTTTGCGATTGGATACAACTGGAGATAATTAAACTGTGTAAAACTCAATTGCATAATGTTAGAAGCCCTGACAAGTTATATATAGCCTGTGTTACACTCAAAACTAAACGTTAAGTCTGTCTGTAAGCCAGCGCTGAAATCCTTGTTCTGGGCCCTGATCTGTGTACCAGGATTTGATAATGTGCCATACTTTTCATGTTAAAAAGCCATGGATCGATTTGCCAGTCGGGCTGAGGGGAAATTTGAAAAACACTTTCGGTAATTTGTTGATCTTGAGATGCTGTTTTGCAGATGTTACTGGCAAAGGTTAGATAATTAACATCTGTGACAAAAGCTAAGTCATATAATATTGAAGTCATACCTGGCTTTTCCTGTGAGGCAAACTATGTGAAATAAGGTGGATATCAAGAACACAAGGATGAAGGAGACCCCGTAAAGTTCAGCAATAAATCGGTGAGTTGTTGAAAGCTTTTTAGAGTTTTGGTGAAGACGTAAAACTGCATATACAGCTGGGAAAACAAACATCTGCAACACAGATAAGAAAGTAGTTGGGCCCGGTTAAGATGCCAAACTTTTCAAGAGCGGAATCTAATTTGAATTAAGGCCAACCCAAATTATTTAGTCCAGCTGAATTGATTCAGATGCCGATCTTAATTCCAGCCAAACTAAATTTAAAAGGAGAAAAATGGTCATTTCAGTCGAACTAGTTGCAAAGTACTTTAAACCAATTTATGCATTAGGACTGGCATATGAAAAGTTTGGCGTCTGAATCAAAGCCATTCCAAAATCCCTCCAAAGTTGAAATTCCTGGATGGGCTTGATGAGAAGAACGCTTGAGCTGTTCCAGATTGAAATAGGTGTTCCTGATAAGATTCAGACACCAAACTTTAAGTTACTTAATTCAATGTATTAACTGTAGGTTGGCTCATGAATAGTTTGGTACTTGAACCAGGCCTTACTATGGCAAATAAAATATTTTTTAATGTTAGGGATCTTAGCAATGGCCAAAAATTAATAGGTTGTAAGCAGCAGGCTACTGTATATAGTTTTTACCCCATGGGTGATAATATTTGCTGTTTGCTCTATAACTGTAGGCTGGTAGGCTTCATTCTTCTTTGCTGGAGGATTCATAAACCTGCAAAATAATAATATTAATTTCAATCATAAGTCAAACTAATGCTTTCCTACTGCATATAATATCTGTTAGAAGCCCATTGGTCAATCAAAAATAGAACTACATTTGTTTTTCATAATTTGAAACTTTTGGTGAACTTTGTTGCAACTGTTGCACTGTCGGCCCAAGAGCTATCCAGATTGGTGTGACTATAGCCTTAGTCTCCCTCCCCTACACCCCCACAGGTTAGGGGGGTTAGGGGGGTGGAGATGGTCGACATATCAGACTGATGTCAAGATCAACGGTAATCATGTTAAAGGAGCTGTTTTAAGATATTTACCAAAATTCAAACAGAAGGAATTCTGCCACCAAATTGAGTAAAACAGTAAAATAACCACTAAAAATGTTAAAAAAAGGTATAAATATAACACCAAATACATTACTACTCATATGATTCCCAAGGGTAATCATGACTTCATGTATTTTAATTTTTTTAATGACTGCAGGTTAATCGCAAATGTAAATGTTACAGGTCAAAATTAATAAATTATTACGTCTGATTAATATTTTTGACCTGTAACATAAACATCACCGATCATGTGTCATAAAGGAGGTGTCAACTGATGTATAGGCCAATATCTTGGTCAACTGTCAGTGTACATATTGGTCACTATACATATAGGTCAGAAGTGTCAAACAAAGTGTTGATTGAGTGTCGATAGCATTGGTAGTGTGTCAGCAATGGACGTATCAGTAAGCCATCAGTCGAGTACCCATAAGGTATCGGAGGTGTAACATATGGTTGACAATCTTCATCACCTGAGCAAATTTTTTTTCTAACCTCATCCTCAAGGCGCTGATACCTGATTGATCAGTTACATGTACCAAATCACAGGCAATTTTCACATATCGACCAACATCTCGGTCATCTGTCGGTTGACATATCATTATTGCTATTGGTCAAGTGGTGGTCGAGAGTCAGTTAAGAGTCAGTCAATGTCCTACGGCAGTTGATCGAGGTATCGGCTGTAACATTGATTAAGGGTTGGTGATATGTCGGTTATCTGTCAGCGAAGTAACGACCGACTATCGTCTGACAGTCAACCGAAACACTTTAATGGCTAACAATTATTGGTTGAGTCCTGTTCAAGATGTGACTGAGACTCAACCAATACTCGACCAATGCTCCACTGATATAACAACCAATAATATTATGTCGACCAACAGTTGACCAAGATGTCAGCTGTTACATCAGTCAACACCCCCTATAAGAGACATGATCCGGATAAGAATTACAAATAAATAACACTGTTGTAACAGCAAAAATGCTCTCTTTTTTCACTTTTTCATGTAAGCTTCATTTATGCTACTACATGAGAAATTTCTTCAATTTGAATGGCTTAGAGAAGTGGTATTTCAGCTTAATTTGAAATACCTTACATGTGAAGATTACAAACCGTGTGCAGGTAGTAGTAAAAACAAATAATAGCATGATTTGTTCGTGATATTTGGCATAAATACCGCTTATGATATTTCAAAAATTGTCTCAAATTTTTTTTACGTATAACAATTTCCAAATATCACTCCTGACCTGGTACTCATGCCAAATATCACTACAAATCATGCTGCTACCTTATACTAAGGAAAACTTAACCTAGCAGTACACAAAAAATAGAATGTTTTCGTCTGATTGGGATAATGACCTCTTTAGATTCGGTGTTTTTGATAGCCAAAATAATCGAAGCCTCGTTAAAAACTATCAGCCAAAGCCATCCCTCATACCTTAGCCTTCGAGAAAAAAGCCAACAAAAAAAATTATTGAATGATATAAATAAATAAAAGACATTGCAGACCGGCCGGTAAAGCTCTCGGCTAGCTGATACACCTCATCAGAGTTATATAAGTTATATAAGAAATTATACAAAGAAACTGTAAGTATTTATATGTAGGCTTACCTCGAGCATCTACAGGTCATTTCAAAATCAGAAATCACTTCAGCTGAAGACCGGTTCGATCAATCAATATTAGCTTATCCTGAGCTAAGTCTTGTCAGCCCAACAAATCGACAAAATGAGATTTGCGAATTTTTTTTATTACACGTTACTAAATCATTTGATGTTGGCTTCCCGTAAAAAGTTAAATCTATGTCACAGAACAATAAGTCTATCCATTGGGCTGAAAATACAAAATACCGTAACTGCTACTGCTTCTGCTACGGCTACTCGTAACGTGACCTAAAATTTCCCGTCTATACCCTGGACAAAATATGTCAACATCAATCCTTTGCGGTCGTGGATTGCAGTGTGAAAGTGCTGTCGACTGATCTGTCGACTAGGAAAATACATCCGTTGAGTTGGTGTAAACAAATTCTAGAGGAAGGAGATGTTTTAATGGAATTCTGCTTTCTGGGATGACGGCCATAGAACTTAAAGAACAAGGCAATCGTCTTTTTTGTGGAAGACATTACGACGATGCGGCTCAGTGTTACACAAAAGCTATAGTAAGTTCAAAACTTCACGTGCTGGACACAGATGACGAAAAAAACACCTCTTTGTTTTCTGTTAAGGGAAAAATTTGCTTCATATTGTTTCATGGTTTTTGTTCTTGTTCTACGTCATTTGTGTTCGGTACACGAAGTAAATGCCGTTCGGTCCTGACAATGTGATAAAGTTTACAGGTTCTTTATGGTTTATTTATCATATGTTTAATAGTTCAATGTAACTTCATCTTAAGTGATAGACATATTGCTTCTTAAACAGATTTTATTAGATAAATTTGATGGGCTGTTAAGTCCGTAATGATACTGTAATTTTCCTTTGCGGATTCTTCCCCTTCCGGCCGGTATTTCTAGAAATTCATTCGCCAACAAATTATATTGTATATTTCTATATATGGACCATTTTTTCTTTCTATTTCTATAAATATTCTTATTTTTGATCCTACAAAAATATAACTATATTTTGATTCCTGGTAGTTCAGGGGGTATCCAATCAATAGAAATTGATGGTTGGGAAACTAATCCATCAATATATTTTATTGATATCAATAAAAAAAATTATTTAGTATCAATAATTGGTATCGGTCAATCAATGATCAATTATTGATAACCACACAAAAACCGTTCATGGATTGCTATCAGTTTGCACAGCAACCTCGAACAGACATCACGCCAACTACCTGTCCGATCATTTGCCATTTTTAGGAAGCCCTAAGGACGAAATTGGTAAAACAATTATTCTGACCCAGTCTTCTCAAGCAAAGAGTATGCCCCTTGCACGACTATACTCAAATTACCCACTTGCCCATCATTGCCTTTTTGCGTCATGATATATATATATGTCTACCCAAGAAGAACGGGAAGAGGCTTTACTGAATATAAGGTGCATCGTCAAAGGCTACCATCTTTGTGGTTTTGAGGTGAATGTCAGTGAAGTGTTTACTGCTAACCAGAAGAGGAGGAGAACGTGGAAACACATTAAAGTTGTTAACCATTGTAGATAGCTCTGCCACCAACAGTGCAAGCTTTTTTTTTTAATCCCTTGGCTGTGTGGACGGGAGAAAAAGAACGGGAACAAACTTTTAAGTTGTCAAAGGAAAACAGACACTTGTGGTATTGTTCTATTGTTAATGTTCGAAGCATTAAAATGAAATGTGTTTAGTATAGTATTACTTTAATGTTCATGAGTTCCTTGAGGGATGAATTCACACTATTTTCGTAACAAAACTTGGTAACAGATGTTTTGGTTGGTTTCCGGCCACCATGTTGGTACCCCTGAGAGGGTACCAACATGACATCTCTCTACAAAGCTCTACATTAGGTACAGTTAACCCCATTAATACGGACACGGAGGGAGCCATAGAAAGTGTCTGTATTAATGGGTTGTCTGTATTCATCATCATCTGTATGGTCAAATACTACACTCCAGAATATAAACAGATTACAATCTATTCAGAATTTTGCCAGCAAGATCGTAACAAACTCTAGGAAGTTTGACCACGTAACACCTTTGCTTCGAGAGCTAAACTGGCTTCCTGTTAAAGAACAATTATTCTATAGAGACTCCGTTTTGACCTTTAAATGTCAGAACGATCTTGCGCCTCAATACTTAACGAGCAAGTTTACCAAGCGCTCAAATATACATACTCGTAACACTCGTACACGGAACTCTTTGCAGATTCCGCTATACAGAACAGCTATAGGCCAGCGCACATTTTCCTACAGAGGGACCTACACATGGAATAACTTGCATAATGAACTTAGGCAAAGTGCCTCATTGGCATCTTTCAAGCGCACCCTGAAAAACACACTATTGAGGCAGACATTTCCTTCATAAGCGTTAGATTTTAATAGAATACCATCATAAATTGTGATTTCGAGTTTTTATTGTCATTTTTGCTTTTATAAATTGTAAATAGTTTGTAAATAGTTCCTGAAAAACCTCACGAGGATGTTACTATTTAAGTTATTATTATTATTATTATTATTATTATTATTAGGCAGGTTGAATTTAGAGAAAATGTAACTGGGCTTTCTTTCCACAGGGACAAAGAAAACTGTCCATAATATTAATAATGAGGTGTCCATAAAGTGGGGTTTAATGGGAACATATTTCTCCAAATGTCTGGCATGTGAAAACTTGCACCAACCTAAATCTTGGCCAGTGTCTTTGTATATTTACCTTCTTTCTTTCCCATCATTCTGGACTTTATCTTTTGAATGGATGTCAATTTCATGACAGCAAAAACCAGCAGTTGGTGTTACTGATGGCAAGTAGTTGTAGTTGTGTTGTGATAATATTGTGAAGTTAGTTATGTGGTGTTAACAGTGGTGGTATTGTTGATAATGAACAATAGTGGGAGTGTTGCTGATGTGATTGGTGGTGATGATAGAAGTGATGATAGAGTCAAGAACTGTTGTTGTGATAATAAAATAGCCTCCACGCTTGACAGACTATTTTTATTCTTTAAATGTAGGCATTTCTTTTTTTTTTTCATGTGTGTGTGCCAAAATGGGGTCATGGTCCCAGGCGTTCTTAGCAAAGACTGTGGAAACTGCATAAGAATCCTGAAAAAAGTTCAGGACTTCAACGGGATTTGAACCCATGACCTTAAATCCCGTTGAAGTCCTGAAGTTTTTTTCAGGCTTCTTACGCAATTGGACAAATTTCACTCACAACTGTGAGGATCATTCTTCATTTGATTTCATTTCTGCAGTTCTCATATGATTTATTTCATATACATCTATCACATTCATCTCTTTCACGGGAACATATGAACACATAATTGACAAGCTCCAACATCAGCGGCTTCATAGCTCAGTTGGTTAGAGCATCGCACCGGTATTGCAAGGTCATGGGTTCAAATCCTGTTGAAGTTCTGAATTTTTTTCAGGCTTCTTATGCAATTGCATAAATTGCATTCACAACTGCAAGGATCATTCCTTATTTGATTTCATTTCCACAGTTCTTGTATAATTTATTTCATACACGTCTATCCAGGAATTTAGCTTAATTTATAACAGCGGGGAAATGACATTTGATGGGTGGGTAATATGAGAAGAAAACAGTTGCCTTTTTAAAGACTGCAATTTTTTTTTCTGCTGGAAAAATCAAGTTGACAGCCGGGTATTTTCCCCAGCTCCCGGCTATTATTTACATCCCTGTCTATCACGAGTCATACATTCTTTGTAAAAATTGAAGTTTTTAAAAGAGGATTTCTGCTAAACCATTCGGTACATTGGGTTCAAATAGATGACCGAAATTGTTATGCTCTTGTAATATTCAGAGCTTTTATTTTATTAGCTTCATCAGATAATGATAAGCATATGATAATGAGGCAAAAAATGTAAACAACGATTCACCTATACTATAGCAATGCTAACAAAAAAATTAGAGGTGATGGTGATGGGATGTTTCTTACTTTCTTTCGTAATTATTTATCTTTTTTTTTCAGGTCAAGAATCCTACTGTTCCTACTTTCTTTACAAATCGTGCCTTGTGCCATCTTAAATTAAAGAAATGGACACAGGCTATAAGTGACTGTCGACGAGCAATAGAACTGGACACAAACTTAGTCAAGGCACATTTCTTTCTTGGGCAGGCCCTGTTAGAACAAGAGAGTTATGATGAAGCTCTTGCGAGTTTGAAAAGAGGTTAAAAGAAATTTTGTGTAAAATATAATAACATTATTTGTTCAAAATATTTTGTCGTTTCTGGTTGGCTTTAATCCCCTGGCTAATTCTTCATGACCAAATCAAATCTTTCATCACTAAGAGTCAAGGCCAGAGGATTTCCCCTGGCTTCTATGAGAATGAACACCCTTGGCTACTTTCCCCAGGAAACAAAGGGAAAATACACACTGGAAGAAATTCCTAGCAATTCAATTCCCTGCCTACTAGTAAGTACATGCTCTGGCAACTTTGTAAAAAGTGATCATCTAAGAAAAGTCATTTTCTGTGCCTAGTAATTATTGCAGTGCCTAGCAACTTTGTAAAAAGTGATCATCTAAAGAAAGTCATTTTCTGTGATTATTCCTCTACTTAACAAAAGGGTTGAAATAATAATATTTAATGTTTGTGGTTCTGTTTAATGACCAGCTTATGATTTAGCCAAGGAACAGAAACTTAACTTTGGAGATGATATAGCAAGTGCAGTTCGCTTAGCTAAAAAGAAGGTATTCATTGAATACTAAGTTACTGGTAGTTGTTACTGTAGTCTATCAAGTAAGACTTGAGTTTGTGCAGTTTTACTTGGTTTAAAAACCAACATTAGGTGTGTGGAGGCTTGAATAAAATCTGGGGTTACTGAGATTTGAGAGTAAAAAGTTTACTTGACTTAAGACATTGTGAAGTTTACTTACTTGGATCTAGTGCAAAGACTACCACCGACCATTTAATTTTCCAGATTTGACCCTCGAGTTTGTTTTTTATTTTGCTAAAAGAACAGTCAGTGCTGCTGGAAATCATTATTTTATTGTGTGCACAAGTTACAGATTACTTAGTTACCTGCTAGCAGATAACTTATAGCGGTTACCTCAGGGGTCAAAATAATTTTGGACAGTGGCAGGTCATGTTGACTGGCCAGACAAGTTTTAGCTTGGTCATGGTTCGCTTCTGACCAATCAAAATGTTGAAAACTAGCAATTCTAAATGGTTAATTGGCATTCACAAAGCTGCACAATGAGACCGTAAGACAGCCTCTTATCTATATACTCCGAATTTCTTTCTGCATGGGGTGAAAATATTTAATGATTCAACTGTTTCGGTAACTTAGAGAATTATTGTAAATATAAATATTATTTTTTCAAGTTATTTATTTTAAAGCCATGCACTTGATCAGTCAGAATGACCAGCCAACTGATTGTTCATCCTGACAAATGGTCATCTTGGCCAGACATTGTCCGTTGACCGGTGGTTATTTTGAGCCCTGTTACCTGCCAGGTTCTGTTAGTTGCACCGATTTCCAAAAGTATCTGTAGGCTCTTATGCCACTGAGAAGACAGATAGTGATTACAATGTATAATATTAAATATTTACCATAACTTGCCATATAAAGCTGAGTACCAGTAAGGTGTCTCAAAGAGATCTTAGTAGTGTTGTCTTATTATAATAATTGTTATTATTTGCAGCGCTTTAGCATTGCAGAAGAAAAAAGAATAAGCCAGGAAATTGAACTCCAATCCTATCTAAACAACTTAATCATTGAAGAAAAGAAGAGGTGAACATTACATGTTAGAAGTGTTAGAACATTACAGCGATAGAAGTGTTATTCACTTGTTTTTCAAGTGTGATTATTTCTCATCTACATCTAAATGATTCTTATGATTGGTACTAGTAAGACATGCAAGGGAGAGACACAATACAGGCTCACCATTTCTTGGAACATTATAATGAAGGGTATAAATGAAGTAAGTTTTGAAGATTGGCCCCTTTAACAGACAGTAGAATAATAATATTATAGGCTGTGCCTATATATGTGCCTTTATATCTGCTGAAGATGGGCTGTACTGCCCTTTGCAGATCAGACATCTAGATTTAGGCTAAAAAGGTTCTAGCAGAAACACTACATACATTTCTTTAACACTTTGCTCAGTGAAACATATTATGTTGATATCTGGCAAGTCAAAAGTGGTGCTTTAATACTGAAGCAAGTAAAAAATACAGTGCTTGCATTCACCCTCTCCATAGCATTTGGGGCTATCAAAATGACAAATAAAAAATGTTTGTCTTAGCCTTGTTAGCACATGTGTTAGTTACAGAGAGTGCATATTTTGAGCAAGGAAATCTTTAGTAACTGCTTTCTATAGCTGCTCTGCCTGAGCAATCACTACTTGTATGACAGTTTTGCTATCCAGACAGGTTTCTATGTTTACTTTCCTTCTTTGCAGACAAGTAAATGCAGCAGGAAAGGATGCCAGTGAAGATGACATAGAGAAAATTGAACTGGAATGTGTAAGGGATTTTTACAGTTTGTAATCTTGCATGGTGTTGGTGATTGTTTCCATAATCTTGGTCCACTCATTATTTAGCTCCTTTGCTAAATATGTGATTGCAGGTGTGAGAACATGTTTACCATCTGTTTTTTCTCTGTTCATCATCATACCTGTGAGCTGTACCTGTTGAGTAGTCACAGAGGGAATGATGCTAGAGTGGTAGAGCTAATAAGTGGGTGTGTCAAGAGTCTTCATCCCTAGGATGCTGTTAGGAGCGCCCATGATGGGGCAGTGTCTTATGGCAGGGTGCAAAGAAAGTCAGTTTTACAGCTTGCCATTCGGGCAACTATCCCCCCAAAAAATTTTTGATGAGCAGGATTTATTACAGTACTGTTCTTCTATTATTTGAATTCCCCCAAAAAACTTGCACTTAGCCATTGGGCAAGTTAATTACAGAATTCACTAGCCCCAGGTTATCAGTCAGTTACTTTCTTTACACGCTTTATGAGGGGAAGAGTTGTTGGGGCAGTTGCTAGAAGCAGCTGCACCAATGGCATGCAGGAACAGTTTTCCCCAAGGTGGTGTAGAGTTGATTAAGTCTGAACCAGACAGCATGTGGGAGGGAGTACCCAGCAGGTCCGCGTTGTTCAAACGTTGGATAGCGCTATACACTGTATAAATCACTATCCAGTGGATAAGTATTAGGGAAACCAATTGCACTGTAGGCTGGATAGTGTTATCCACCTTTTTGAACAACTGGGAACAGGTGTTTTGCTCTGTTAAGTTGGAGAGTAATAAAGACGTTGCTCTTCAGGATAGAAGAACATCAGAACTAAACAGCCTCTTCAAACAAGTAGATGAGAGAAGGAAGGTAATTTAATTTCAAATGCACTATAATTTGTTTGTTTTGTATTTACGTAGTTAGATTTGAATTGTGTGATAAAGAAATAAAGAATTTCTCAATTCCCATTGGCTAAGAGAAAAGCAATTTTCAAGAAACACAGGGAAGAAGAATGGCAACTCAGTGCAAAAAAAAAATGAAGTATGATAATCTTTTTGGGGGGAATACCGGTAAATACACACAGTATTAAGCACTTTTAATTTTTGCCAAGGAAAAAATTGACTGGTGCTTAAATCATGTAATTACCTATGCAGAGATCAAAAAAGTGCTGTGTTGAATTTTTAGTCTCTAAGTTACTTCTGATCAATTCTCGCCCTGGAGATAGCGTACAAAATGCTGATAATTTTGGAGGAAGTTCAGTAATCAGAGGTCACTTTGGGCTTTATACATTTTTCGTGTGGAAGGGTTAATGAGAGGATGTTCTCACCGTTTTTTCTCCAGAAAAGAGAAGTACCAGATTACCTCTGTGGACGGATAAGTTTTGAGCTTATGAAGGATCCTGTCATTACACCTAGTGGAATAACGTATCCTTTCCAGATAAACTATTTTAAAATTGCCTTAAACCCCAGGGCCAGTTGTTCAAAGCTGGTCCAGCCAGCTGACAAAAACTGTAGTGCCACATGGTAGGTGCAACACAAATTAATGAACTGGGAAAAAATGTTTCATGTTAATCATTCTGTATGGATGCTGCTTAACTGACATACCTGGGAAGGGGGTGGGGGGTACTCAACAAAGTTTTATACATGGGAGCCTCCGCCCTGAGATCCGACCCCTTTCCCATTTACGTACCATTTTAGACAGAACAGGTACCCCTTTTGTATACCTTCTATTCACAAATGGTACCCATTTCACTTACCTAGTTTAGATCTTTGCATCCCTTTTAACTGCTGTTAATGCACTGTGTGTTATGTAAGAATACGTTACAAAAGCAGAACGTTCTCTCGACTTTTTCACAGCCGTAAGATGGATCTGTTGGCCCTTTTGGGCCTTGTACACACGGAAATCACAGATTTCCCTACCCTTTCATATACCTCAACTTATGAAATTTGGCCCCCTGTGTATATCAAAAGCTTTAAAAAGGTACCCCTTTCTGGCGAAGCCTTCCCGTATAGGTCATTATAGGAAGTACCCATCTCCACGATCATATCATATTAAACAAAATAATTCTTAACGGTGAACAGGTATGATAGAAAGCACATTGAGGAACATCTGCAGGTAAGTTGCCAATTCCTGTGTTATTCAATTCATTTGCCAATTTAGAAACAATAAGGGAACTGGACCTGAAATGAATCCCTCAACAGACCAATTTCAATAATATTTATTCATACTTGGCTCCAAGGCTTAGAAGAATAAAACAAAAGAATTCTTCTTGAGGCTCAGCAATGAATAATACATTAATTTTCATTTGTTTTTTTCTCCCAAGCCTCGGAACCAAGTATGAATAATATTTAATATATTGAAATTGGTCTATTGGTTCTGGGGTCATTACTGGGGTCGCGCTGGTCAGCTATTAGGCTGATTTTGCAACAGAACGGGAACGTCAGTTAACGACGGCACGCGCAAATTAAACAACTGGCTTAACTAATAACAGAGCGGCAAATTGAGTACTGGAAGTCGTGTTTAGTCTTTTCCAGGCGCTTTCCCTTTGTCATCTGACGTTCCTGTCCTGTTGCTAAATCAGCCTATTGTAAGCAAACGAATGTAATGGGATCTCTTGAATTCCCTCTTGACAACACTGAAAAAAACTTTGCAGACCCCCATCTGCAGAGCGATTAATTTGAAGCATGTAATTGGTCTAAAAATAACTTTGACCGGCGAAATTCAGATATCCCGAGGGCTAGACTGGGCCTTCCCTTCTCCGTGACTCCCATTATCATTAACCCTTAAGTCCCAATAGTGTCCAACAGCAATTTTCTCCTAACAATATTCATACATTATCATGAGATTAGGTTGTGAGAATTAATAAAATGATCACATAAGAGAAAATACGTTGATCTTTTATCAAATTCTCTTAACTAATTCTTAAAGGAAATGTATAGAGATCAGTTTGGAGAAATGGATATTGGGGAACAATGTGATGTTACACAACCACTCGAAACATTTTCGCAACAATATTGCAATGTTGGAACAATGATAACCTCAAACAATGAGCAACAATATTGTGATGCTTTGCTGAGCTAAAAACCGTCGCTGCGAATTGTCTCGTGTTACATCACCTTTATTCTCTCCTGTTTGTCTACCAACACGGCTACTTTGTCGTGTGGTTACAAATGAAGAATTCAGTAGGGTGGGGAGGAAGTGGGGAACTGCTGCATGTGGTCTTATGGCTGCTATTCAAAATGTCCCATGACAGTTGAGGCCATGTTACATGGGACGATTCACCACCGCGATTTTAAATTGTTACAACGTTATTCCAACATTGCTCCCCTAAAAATCGTCTTTGACACGACCATGCATTTTTTTTTCTAACTTTTTAAACTTTTTTTTAACTCTGAAACTAACCCCTCTAAGTAGAGCTGCTGAAATGAAGCCAGGAACTATTCGGTAACCGGTCAAGTCGCCCAAAACCAGAATCATGTCACCCGAAATTTTATCCGGTGTAATGCACAGAAAAATATAGTTGAACAAAGCAGTGTGCGCTAAACCATGTTGAGACGAACCAAGCGCGATATACGCGTTATACTTTATACAGTGTAAACCCGTGAGTAAGAACCTGGGCCTGGTTGTTCAAAGCTGGGTTAAGGTAACCCAGGGTTAGTGCGAAATTTGAATTCAGATATGAAAGCTTAAAAAGTAAATTCAGTTTAATTCTTTTTGTCAGCAATAACAGAAAAATATTTGAGAGAATTTTTTTGAGCGAATGAAAAAGAAACCCCGGTTAAATTTAACCCTGGGTTAAGCGCTTATCGGCCTTTGAACAACTGGGCCCTGGGTTTTAAGAACCTGTTAGGCTAAAATTTGCCAGTTAGGCCCCCTCTGTACAAGAACCTGTTAAGCCTAAAAAAAAGTTAACAAAAAAATATTTGAAACTGGTTCTTATTTTCTAAAATCTATTAAACAAAATTCTGTACACTTAGTTAAAATAAGATAATTCAACATTCAGGATCCTCTTTAGAGACATAGGTGCTTTATCACTCCGTGAACTGCATTGTAATGGCAGATTTTGTATAAGAAATAAGCTGAATACCATTAAGTGTTCTCAGCTACATTGTATTTTTTTCTTCAGATAGTCTTAACGTATTTAAGAACCTAAATAGCCTGTAAATTTGTGCTAATTGCCATTTTTGTAAGAACCTGTTTAGACTAACTTTGGAAAATGTAGGTCCTTCAAACTCGCGGGTTTTTTCTGTATCTCGTTCTTTAATTAAGTCACGATGAGACGAAACAAAAAGAACAGACGAAACAAGAGCGATATAGTTTAGGATCCTGTTGAGCATGTTAAAATTTCAGGCGACATAACTCTGTTTTCGGGCGAGATGCCGGACTTTTGGGCGACTTCACAGTCTACCAACATCTTACTTACGAACTCAACAAATCACTCCAAGGTTGTCTTGTTTTTCAGCGCGTTGGACATTTCGACCCAGTGACGAGGTCAGATCTAAAACAGGAACAGCTTAGTCCCAACCTTGTCATGAAGGAAGTAATCGATGCTTTTATTGCAGAAAATGAATGGGTTGTAGAGGAATATTGAAGAGAGATGACACCGGTTACTTAATTGCCAACAAACACCCTTGTCCACAGAAACGACTGCATGCATTATTCATGACTTTCTCTAAAATTCAATTAAATTGCATCCGTCTTTGTTTTCTTTAAAATCTGAAATGTCAATGTTGTGGCCTACAGGTTATTAGATAACTGTTAAAAAAAAAGTTTTCTTCATTCAGACACCTTTTCGTCTGAAAAATTCGTTTCAAGTACCTGTCTTCAAGCACGCCCTATAAGGCTGAACGCATCCTCCCTAACCTGCGATCAGGCGATATTTTTTAAAATTTTTTATTGCTATTTTGTCGGGGAAAAAAATCGCCTGATCGTAGGTTACATCCTCCCGGATCTCCGTCCTACGACAGTTCTTTACTCTCGGTTTTTTTTTTCAGTTACTAGGGTGCTTAAGAAACGACGACAGCGTCGGCAACGAATATGGCAAAAAAGCAATAGGTTAAGATTAGCAATGAATAACATCTCGCTTTTTTGTACATTTCTTATCCGTCGTTGCACGACTACGACCTGCAACTTCTTGATTTCACGGGTTTCATCGAGGACGTGAACACGTGACAACGAGTTAATGTTTCTTTTTCTGCACATATAGATACAGTCCTATAGACTTTAACTCCTGAAAAACACGCCAACATTTGACAAAATGAACCAGATGGAAAAAGACGTAGAAGTTTGAAGCAGCGCGAATTCACGTTTTGGGTGACATTTTCGCTGCCGTGACCGCCGTGGTTGCTTAAGCTCCCTAATGCGTTAAATCGTACAACTTGTGACTTCGAGGCAGACTCTATAGGAAGTTTGAGCAGCCAAGATCACAACGGCAACGGGAACGTAAAAAAAAACAACATATTTTTAAAATTTGCGCATGTTCAGGAATAGTCGCTCTAGAGTTTGACAGAACAGCAATGTACTATTTTAAGGGAAGTTCCCCCTGCCGTCGCTGTTTTAAGCTCCCTTTTGTTATTGGAATAACATCTAGCCTGAGTGGTTGGCGGGATTTGTGGGCGAGTGCTGTTTCTTTTTTTTTTTTTCATTTTTGGCGTTTGAGCCGCGAGAAGTTTGGGAACAAGCCGCCAAGAAAGTACCCGCTGCAACCCGCCATCTACGCAGGCTAAATAATGTCATGATTCGCCTAGAACCGAGTCTCTTGATGGCCAACCCTAAAGAGAAGGTCTCATGCGGGAACTTCATGTTCTAGGCAAAGAGCGACCGAGACGCGAGCGCGAGGGGTGATATTCACGCGCCGCCGCGTTTCGCTCGCTCTACTATGCCTGAGGGAAAATGAGGGACTACTCGTAGTCTAAAGATGTGTCGATATGAGGAAAAAAGTCGGGACAGTTTAATATCTACTTTGAGAATTAAGAAAACACCTGTAGGCAAAATACAAACCTTGAAAGCCTGTGTTTGTTAACAAGAGGACGATCATCGAAAATCGTTCAAAATTAAAAAGGGGAGGCACAGGCCCTCGGACAGCTCTGATTTCATGATTTTTGCGAGTTTATTCTGTGGAAGAGTGTGGATGTACGCAAAGTAACCGGTGACTTACTATTGTGTAATGTAAATAATATGAAACAAAATATATGCTGTTATTTTGATAGTAAATGCGTACGAGAAAGATGCTAACTTCAACTGTCAAAAAAATGGACAGACTGCATTGGAAGTATTTATGTTTGTGGTAAAATTCGTCGTTTGTTTTGGAGACATGAATAAAGAAACTGTTCTTTTACGATTTTATCTTTATTCGGTCTGTTACCCAGCAGCTTGCAAATCAGTGACAACGTCTGAATACAGTGGAACTTCAATAAAACCGCCAACTTCTGTATAACGAAATTCCCGGACGTCCCCGGTATAACGAACGATTTTCTTTAACCCACTAAAAGTAAAATACATGGAAAAAAACTTCGGTAAAACAAAACCTCATTACAGCGAACATATTATGCCAGTATCTTGGCCCTTCGTAATAGCGAGGTTCTATACTACTGTACAGCCTTCTAAAAAGATGTAATGCGCCTAGTCCAGGCTGTAATTAAACTCAATTGGCCTGTGAAAGGCCGCTTAGTGCTTATCCAGGATTAAAATTGTCATCCACGATTTTATTTTATTTCCAACAAATTGTTTAGATTATCATTCTGTGTCGTCACAGCTGGATCTTAGAGTTGAAGCTGATCTATATTAATTTCTAATCTTCAGTGACATGTTCCTTGACAAGAAATCTTTCCTTTAATTTTAGCTTAACCGTGGATCAAACTTAATCATTTTTCGATTAACCGGGCCCAAAAGGACAAAAGCACTGGGCAATATCCTCCAGGGGCTCTTCTAGACTTACGTGAGTTAGCGTGGCAAATGATTAGACACAAGCGAAGCACAAGGCATCTTGGGGCGGCTAGGGTAGGGAAGGAGGGCCAGCTATCGCCGTCCCACCCTCCTTGCGCATAGTAAGAGACACATCGGGGCACAGGGAAGAGCGAAGAACGTCCCCTAAGAGGCAAATATTCGTTGTAAACTAGACCGCTTTTTGTATATTGTTTCAAACACCGATGCAAATATCTTTCATATGAGTGGCTCTACTTTCTGTAAACTAATCTCACAAGTACCAAAACACAGTTCCACATGAAGGTCTCTGAATGATCTTTACGTTAGACTTATGTCTTACTCTTCTTCGTTGCAACATGATAAACGGTACAACTAGAAGCATATTAGTCACATCACCAACAACCTTACAACTACACTTTAGTTTCCCTGTCTGGGTTGGGCGACTGGACTTGGATAGTGGAAAAACGGTATGAAAACGAGGAGTCCGTTTTACGCTTCATGGGTTCTTGGCAAAGACGTTGCCAGTTTAAACTGAAGATGTCTTTGAAGCGTTGTCGAAACTCTGCACTGACAAGCGAGTATATGATTGGATTAGCGGCACTATTGGACAACAACAGAATCGTGCAAATATTATATACAACCCAAATGTACTTCACTTTTCGAACAATCACGAACAGCGAGACGATCTGAAACACATGAAAAGGAAACATTGTGACAGCGAAGGTGATAACTACTGGTACAAGAATCTTCAACGCTTTGGTGTTGGCTTTATCAAACTTCTTCTTTTTTTCAGTCTTGTAGCTTCCGCGCATATTGTTTATTTTCTTGTGAAGTAATTTGCTTGCGCGAATCTTGCGGCCGATTTGTCTGTACGCCCACAGTATCAAGGCCAGCGGGAGTAGGTACCAGAAAATTGTGAGTGAGATGACGTAGCTTTTATTTGACGCGTTATTTGGCCAAACTGGTGTGCAGTCTATGGTCCCCTTCTCTTTGTCTTCAATGAATTCCATGACGAAGTACAGGGGGACCACCACTACTAGAAAACCTAACACCCAAACTCCCATTATCACCCATTTAGCGACTGACAGCGACCTGTGTGACGTCATACCACGGACGATTGCTAGGTGCCTGTCGATCGTTATGGCAACGATCGAGCCAATAGACGCGCTGTAGAAGATATCAGATAATGGGTAAAAAACCTCGCAAAAAACCTTCCCCAGAGGCCATTGAAACGGGTCTGCAGCTTTAATAAGGGTGAGGGGGTAGCAAATAGCCAGCACTCCAATATCCGCAATGGCTAAGTTTAGGATGTACTTGTGCACAGCGGTCTTGTTGGCGCGATTCGTGCCCGTGATAATGACGACCAGGAGATTACCAACAATGCCTATGGAGCAGATGATAGCACTTAAGATGAGGCGAATGGTCTCGACGAACTTTGGTTCGAGTTCGTCCTTGTCCAAGGTTAAGGGAGAAACGTTCGGGATATCAGTGGAATTGTTCATTGTTTGGGTAGAAAGTTATTTCAGTGGCAGAACAGCCCTTCCAACGTCTGAGAGAATACTAGTGTGGTAAATTTTCACCTGAAACGAATGAGATAAACAAATTAGGTTCCTTCTATATTCACTTTAACTAGTATCAGGTGTGAGTGAGAAAATTCTTCCTGGCCAGGAACCGATGACCTGGTCCCCCATTTTAAAGCGAAAATTTTGGACTTTAATATATTCATGAAACTTCTACAAGACCTACAAATCCACATTTTGTTACAGGCCGTCAGCTCCTTTGCAGTTCACTTTTCAGGATCACCCAACCTCGTCCCCAGGACTTTTTAAGGAAAATCCCTGGGGACGAGGTTATTAAGAGGAAAAGCCCTGAGGACGAGGTGTTTAGAGAGCTGCTCAAACAGCTTCAATATTTCAATAACAAAGAAAACAGTAAATGAACCAAAATTCATGGTCAGTACAAGTTTATTGTCTTGCTCGGCACACTCATAGAGAGCACGGGATTTCCCCCCACCACCCCACCCCACCCCACCGCTTCCCGCTTCCCGCTTCCCGATTCCCTCGCAAGTTGGCTCCAGACCGATTTTCCAGGAAAATCCTGGAAATGATACTGACTTATTCTTGGTTTCCTGATCCCTCTTTGCGGTTTGTTCAAACCATCTTTGTTGCGTACATAATAAAATCAACACCATTTTTAAGCGTGGACCGTTCCCATTTTTGCGTAGACTTCAAAATAGTTCGCATCATTTTTCCTAGCCTGCGAGAACGCGGGTAAAAGAGCGAGCGAGCGCGAGCGGTCAAACGAGAGGTCTCGAACATTTTGCAAGAAAATCTCACGTTTACGCCTTGAATAACCGATTTTGAGAGAAAAAATCCACTATTTTAGCTGTCCACTTTTTGTGTAACAACACTCGATCTCAAACTCGTCGTGTCCAGCTTATGTTATCGAACAATGGTGACAAACATGTATAATGAATACAGAGTATTTGATGACGGGTATTTGCCAGACAATAAAAGTCTTTAGACTCTTAATAGGAGTCCCGTGCCGGAAAGAAAAAATACGAGTGAGAGGTCATTTGCAAGACAGAAGGAAAAACGATTATCATCGGACAATGAGGCACATATTACATATAGTTTTTCAGCTCATTATGACGTGTGAATGTAGATGCAAATAACATGGAATTATAGCACGAAGCACACTGATCTCATCTAAAATGAAAAGAAACTTCACGAAAATTTGCAAAAATCTTGAATCGTTTGTGAGAATGTAAACAAGTGGAGCGGGTGATCGAAATTTGCTGGAAAAACCGTCTGAAAGGGCCCAGCAGGCACCGACCTAGCAGAACTATAACTCTACATTCAGGGAGATTAATTATAAAAGCTAAAACGATAGTACTAGCACTAGCACTAGTACTAGCTAATGATAGCTACTGAGCTAAAACTTTCCTGGACTTTACATTGTCATATCATATTCTAACTCTATCGACGGGTAAGAAACGTACTTAATTATTTGCCAAGAAACCTGGGCCAAAGACCATTATCCACTTGAGTGTTTGTATGCCGATAAGTATAACATTCAGCACATTATCGACAGAGGATATAGCTGAAGAGAACTACGTATAGATGCCTACCTCGATCACTGCCTTTGATCGGTTTGATTGAATCCAAGAGATGGTGGGTAGTGCAGCTGTACAATGTAAATATCTGTGAGGTGATGAGAGGTTATGCCAAGAATCAGTTGGAATCGATCTTCAACTGCACGAGAACTCCTAAAGATCCTGACCGGCTTTTCAAGTGGCCTGTTAGTGGCAATTCATTAGTTTAGAGTATGGTAATTCATCCTACAAAAGCGATCTTATCCTATCGAATTAATTTCCTTTCACCTATCAATCAACGCGTGGCAAAACACAGTTAAGACCATGTTCGATGTTGGCTTCATATGGGGTCAATGGTGCCATACAAATCATGAAAATCAAAACACTATACAACACGAAAACGTACCCAACAGATGCCACGGCATGATCTCCGTGGTAAAAATATTAGCGAGTAAATCTTGTTCCTTTTTCATGTGCACCATCTGAATAACACTTCAAAGAGTGTCCAGGAAAAAACTATAGATTCTTTTCCGGAGGAACTCGCTTCTGTAAGATTTCAAGCCTGTACAGCGAAAATAGCGTGGCGTTTGGACGGTAATCTTGGTTTTAAAAACTAGTGATTACTATAAAAGAGGTCGGATTGCTTTTCAAAAATATCGAAGACAACAGCTTTTACAAAGGTCTGCTGCTGGCAACTGACGAGACAACCTGTTACGTAATGTGCTGCAAACAGCGAAACTACAAAACAATGCAATACAATCGATCGTTTAGTTATCCACTTTACGTCTTAAGTGCTAAAAGCTCATTCAAAATAATAAAACTTTTTCAAGCCTTGATCACTTTTTGTTTTTTCCCTCCTCTCGATATTCCCAGCCCTGCAAAACATCCACAACATGCACGTGCATCCATATCCTTCGCGTGCCACGAATTGGTCGCGGTTAAGTTTGCTGTCGAAACCTACAGCGAGCAAGCTCTCCTATTTGGGCGAGTGAACCGAGTCGCGCGAGAACGCGCGAGCGAGCGGCGAAGCTTCGCTTGCCCAAATAGTAGAGCTTGCTCGCAGGCTAGTCGAGACCCGACTGCCTATAATAGCCTATACGGGGAGAAATAAATTGACGTTTAAGTTTAAACTGCAAACGACCGCAAACGAATATGCCGCAGAACGTAGGATCTCTAGAAGACTTGATCAGGAAAAATATACACTGATTAGACACATTGATCAGCTTTTCAGCTTTCAATGTGTCTATACGGGGAGGCTTCTGATCCGTGCATTGAAATTCGTTGGTACTTCCTTTACAGATAAAAGGAAAGTACACAGATCTGCTAACGTCCGTAAAACGTCCTAAAGCTCATTCAAGAGGGTTCACTTCAGTGAAGTGCCCTT